CGGGGCCGGGCCCTTACCGATGTACATGGAGTTGCAGTTGGAGAACGGCTTGGCGGGCAGGATGGAGTTCTGCAGCGCTTCCTCATCATTGGAGGGGGGTGGCTCATAGTCGGCATCGTCTTCCAAGGGCACCTCGTCACCCTCATTGGGGGACTCGTAGTCACCATCATCCTCCCCATCCTGATCGTCATTGGGACTTTCATAGTCATCTTCTTCCTGCCAGCAGAGACAGGGACAAGGACAGGGACAGGGACAGGGCAGTTGGTCAAGGCTCCTCGGCATCAACGTGCCTGTGTCTATTCTCCCTCTGCCCACCTTCAAGGTGGCACTTGCTTGGGAACAAGCAGCACCAAGATGGTCATGCCCACTTTACAGATGAGAACACTGAGGATGGGGATGACAGTCTCACAGTTCCAGCAAGTTGTGACCTTGGGACCTTTGTCAAGATCTGTTTACGGGGCCTAAGGGGGAGGGGTGTGCAGAGCTCATTAGAATCTCAACGGGATCACTGTGACCCCTCAAATATAAAACCCAACTGGATGGGTCTTGTCAGGGCTAAAGGTCGATGCTGAAATCTAATTCCCACTGTTTCCCCAGGCCCAGGGGGGCTTGTGTGCATGAGACAAGCGACTTTGATGCAAGGGGGGACCGGGGGGGCCCCGCTGCGGTGGGAATGGTGGGTAAGTGCTGTCTGCAGGTTGTGACCCACAGGCCCAGCACCTGATGCGCCGGAGGAGCAGAGGCGGGTGGGTGAGCCAGGCCACGCGGGTGGCCACCGGGTAGGCGCCCCCTGGCCTTCGCCAGCCCGCTTTCTGACCCATGGTGGGTAAACTGTCTTGTGAGGGGCCTGGCTCCTTACTACAAGGCACCCCGGGCACCGCCGGGAGAGCAGCCCCGCCAGACTTACAAAGGACGACCAGCCGCCGTTGTCTTCCATGTGGCTTTCTGTGGGGGAGATGCCACCATTAGTACCCAGGAAGCCCTAGAAAGCAAGGAAAGCAGCCCTCCTGTCGGGCGCCTCCCGCGTCACTGCTGCCCCAGCCCCGCCCTGCCTCCTACAGCCCCGAGGGTCAGCTCTAGACCGTCTGCCCGAGGGGCTCGCTCTACCGCAGGGCAGGGCGGGGCTTACCCTTCCCCACGTATGAGTCACAAGAGCGCCTCCAAGTTCGTGTGATGTAACAGCTGAAAAACTGCCTTAAGACTCAGAGCATGGGGCTGGCTCCACTCGGGTGCTCAGCCAAAGTCTGGGCTCTTCCTTCCCCCCAGCCCCTGCCCAGAGCTCCTCACTGTGTCCCCGCTGGGCAAGGGCCATAAGCCACGTGCTTGCATGGTGACATCTCGCCTCCCCTCAGTCGGGACCCAAGCCCTTTTCTGGGTAAGAACTGGCTGACAGGCAAATGAATAAGGCCACCTGTGTGCCACCCAAGGAGCCCTAGGAACCAGCAGATGAACTGAAGTACCTGTCCCCTTCTGAAGCTGTCACTGTCGCCCCTAGACCCTTACCTGTTTCTTCAGGAAACCGATGGACCTGGGGTCTGCAAAGGCAAACAGCGTCGCATTAATGGCCTTACCCACTTCAGGGGGCTCCCTCTTCCCTCAGACCTCCCCCAGTGGAGAGGATGCCTCACCACCCAGGACTCGTGTCCTTGTTGCTTGGCAACTAGGGCCAGACTGCCCCAAATACTAGAAACCGCCAAAGCTACTGGTGGTGGCACTGGGAGCTGTGACTGCCTTGCTGTCCAGTCCTAGACCCAGGAGCAGGGGCAGTGTAGGGAGAGGGAACAGCCCCCTCCTGGGCACCAGCCTCGAGGCCCCGGGACCGAGGGGACACTGATGGAAAACTGGGCCGAACCGGTTCCGCACCACCCGTTTGAGGCCCAAAGGGTCTGCAAAGCCCTTGCGGCTCGCTGTCTACACGGGCCAGGCCGCTCACCTGCGCGGCGCGAAAATGCTCCTCCTCTCCTCGTTCTTGTTGATTTCTTGACTCAGCTTACTGAGGATCCTGCGAGGTGAAGGGACAGGTAAGGCAGGCGGCAGGGCCATCGGGCCCCACCTTCCCGCTGACACCTGCCCTTCCTTGACCCATTTGACCTTAGGCAGGCTCCTGGGCCAACCCACACCAGCCCCCTCCTCTGGCCTCCAGCCAGTCCGGGGTGGGGGGGTCCTCTGCTCCTCACTTCCCCCCAGAACTTGTCACCGTCATGCCCCTGCCAGCCGTGTTCCTGCCCAGGAAGCCCGCGGTGTCTGGCTCAGCCTCCTCAGCCTAGCCCCGGGCCCTCCATGAGGACTTGTGGGTTCACACCCGGACCCCCTTCTCTAGCATCCTGCCGCCGTGTGGTGTGGAGACCACCCTGTATTGTGTCGGGCTGGCATCCCTGGGGCTGAGGCGCCCTGACTCGGGTTGGAGCCTTGCGGTGATGTCTGGCTTCCAGGACTCCTCCAGTCACCCCTAAGAATCAACTGCTCGCTGCCTAACGCCTGACAGGAGCTCCGGGGGCCGTTCACTAGCCTGCGTCTCCCTCCAGGCTCCCCTGCCTGCCTCCTCCTCAGTGACATGGGTCCTTATAAAAACCAGAAGTGTTCTCAGTCAAGGAACAGGCTGTGGGGTGGGAGACTCCCTCGGTCACCCATGCCCTGAGGCCAGCCGTGGCCAGGACCCTTGGAGGTACTCCTCGATTCTGGGTGCTGTGACCTAGCAAATCCCCACACGCCAGGCCAGGGAGGGACCTCTCCCTCCGGCAGGACCGCACCACAAGCAGGCCCTAAAATAAGCGCCTGTTCCTGGGCTGTCTCGAACCCTCAGGACACGGGACTGCAGCCTCCCTTAGTTCCCACTGCTGAGACCAAGGGAGTGAACAGGCTGTTTCCTAGGGCTTTGGGGCGGCGGAGAGGAGCCTCGGAGGTGATCTGGTCTAATGTCATTTTACAGATGGCCCAGATAAAGAAAGGGATGGGCCCACCTGTGGGTTAAGTGACAAAGGGCACCCCTTTCCCCACAACACAGAAGCTGGGCTCCCCAATTTCCAGGCCAGCACACTTCACACACCACATCCTGTGTTCATGCCCATTTGCAGTGAGCACTATGAGCCGTGCCCATCTGAGCATGACCAGGATCGACATGCCCTCTGCTGAGTGTCTCAGGGGAGCGAGCTTGGCCCAGGACACAATTGCCGGTTTAGAAAGGCAGCCCCCTTAGCACCCACCGCTTCCTGCTTCCCTCGTGGCCCTGGCCGTCCCAGACCCCAGACCCCCGCTTCAGGCTCCCAAGCCCTCCTCCCTCGTTAGATTGACAGCTAAACTAATTGTGATCAAGGCAGTGGGGACTTAAGAGGACCGGGGAGAGAGGGCAGTGTTTAATCTCCAGTCACGTCATCGCTGGAATTTCACATTCACTGACTTCCCAGAAGAGGAGGTACTTAAAACCAGCTGGGGCTTCCCAGTGGCCTCTGACTGTCACCTGTGATATGTGTCACCTGTGACACGGTTCATTTCCTTTCAGTGATTGCTTTGAGAAGCTAAGGGGAGCCCTGTCCTCCCTCCTCTGACTGGGGGATTCCTACAGACGGGAGGCCTGTTGGTGTCCTGCCAGGTTGGAGGTAGGGGCTGCTTCCTTCAACCATGTGCCACCCCTTCCAAGTGCCAGGAATGCAGCTGGGTGCTCAAGGCACCTCAGTGCACAAAACAGAGCTCCCTGCTCTTCAGGAGCATCACGCGGGTGAAGAGAGACTAACAACACACAAGGAACATTTAAGGAAGTGAAATTCTAGATAAGACCTGTGTATACAAACAGGCCATGGTGGGGAAGGGGAGGGGAGTGGGGGAGGGGACAGGTGCCTGGGAGGGTGCTTTGCAGCTGAGAAGGAGCAGGCCTCGCCCGAGGTGACCTTTCAGCAGTGACCTGAAGCACAAGTGGGGCCGGCCTGCACCTCACCGCCCCCAGCCCACAGACCCTGGCTGGGCCCCAATGTGGCTTTGATCCTGGAGGCACCTCGTGCTCTCCGAGGTGTCACTTCTTACCAGTATCTTCAGCAGCCAGGCTAGAGGCTAAGGAAGGAAATGCCAAACCACAGGCCCCAGCAGAAGACAAGCAAAGAGCTGAGAAAGCAGAGTAGGGCCTGCCGCCCTGGTTTGCAGCAAAACTTGGGCTCCTAGGGTTCCCCTCCTTCGGCAGGCCTCAGAGGACACCTTCCTAGCCGGCTGGGACCGTGCTGGGGTGCGAGGGGACAGGGTGGCCAGGCTGGCGGACAGGGCAGGAAGGTGGTGGCTTCCTCTGTGTGCAAACCTTGTAAGTTGTCCTCCACTCCCACACCCCCAGAGGACCAAGTGACAGTGAGTGGCCGGAGGTGACTCATTCCCCCTCCTTCCCACAAACCTCAGGCCTCACTCAGAACCAGGGACCAAGGTGGAGGGGGCTAGACAGCCTGTAGACTAGTTCTCTCTGCTTTGCCTCATGTTAGGGATTAACTGGTTCAGGAAGAGGGGCTGAACCCTCCAACAGGAAGCTAGGCCATTGCAGTGGGTGGAACCCTGCCGTGACCAGTTCCAGCCCCAGTTTGCTGCATGGTGAGGGCCAGTCCGATTTCTCCATCAGTCAGAGGCTTCTCCTGGTGGTGTTAGAAGCACAGAGGGCCAGTCTACACCCAGAGCCTACCCTATGACCTCAGGCAAGGCCTTGGCCCTCCCTATGGAGTTAAATATAAAACTTATAATATGGTTTTTAAAAATAACCTCCCAGTGGGCATCGGCAGACTTCAACATGTAATCTGCCATTTTATCCAGCTCCTGCTCAGCTGTGCTTGGTTTTGAGCAAGGCCCTCTATGCGGAGGCTCCATTTTCCTATTTCAGAGCCGGCCCCCATTACAGAATTCAGGAGCCTCTGGGAAAAACTGTGTCCTGAGAGACTGACCACATCTGCAGACAGAGGAAGCCTCCTCACCAGAATCCACATTCTGACAAAACCTACTTAATACTGATTCTTTTCATCTTGGGACAGGAAATAGAGTCAGGGGACTGTAATCTGGTTTCGGTCTGTTGCACATAAACACAGCATCTTCTTCACAGTCCTTTCGGGTAGTAATCGTGGGAAATGAATCTACATACAAGGGATTCAAATGACTAAGTACTGACTATGGATATGTGCCAAGGACAGCAGCAGGCAGCTTCTGTGGCTGCCCCCCTGCAGGTGAGGAAGCGGAGGCCCAGGGTCCACAGCTGGGAGGAGGCAGAGCCCGCTGCGGAACCTGGCTCTCCCTTGCTCCAAAGCCCAGGCCTTTCTTTTCTTTCACCCTCCCCCTTTACCAGCGTAGAATAATTAGTAAAAATGTGATGTTGTGTTCATGGGGAGTGTGCATAAAATAATTAGAACAGCTAACCCTTCTCTGTGCATTTTATAATTTCCCCATTATGTCCTACTGACCCTTTGAGGTAGGCTCTCGCCACACTCTTTCCTCTCCTTTGGACTTTAATTCCACATCTGTTAGGCTACTGGAAGTTTCCTGCAGTTCCCTGATGCTCTTTTCATTGTTTTATTTTAATAAATGTGTTTTCATCATTTATTTTAATAAAACAATGTGTTTCATTTTGGGTAGTTTCTATTGCTGTGTCTTCATGTTTACTAATATTTTCTTCTTTGGTGTCTAATCTGCTATTAATCCCAAGCAATGAATTTCTCATCCCAGACATTATCGTTTTTATCTCTAGAAGGTTCTGTGTGGGTCCTTTTGTATTTCTCATGCCTCAACTTCACTTTCTGAATATATGGACTACAGTTATACTGCCCTTGTCTGCCAATTCTACTATCTGTGTCGGTTATGGGTCAGTTTTGATACAATGGTTCTTCTGCTTATTATAGGTCAGACTTTTCTGCTTATTTGAACACCTACTCATCTCTGATTTGGGTGATGGATGTTTTTGCATTCCTATAAGTTGTTTTTTTTTTAATTTTTTTAATTGATTTCAGAGAGAGGAAGGGAGATAGAAACAGCAATGATGAGAGAGAGTCATTGATCGGCTGCCTCCAGCACAGCCCCTTAGTGGGGATCGAGCCAGCAACCCGGGCATGTGCCCTGACCGGGAATCAAACCATGACCTCCTGGTTCATAGGTCAGCGCTCAACCACTGAGCCATGCTGGCTGGGCTCTATAAGTATTTCTGAGTTTTGTTTCGGGATGCAGTTAAATTACTTGGAGGCAGTTTAATTATTTTTCTCAGTCTTGCTCTTAATTCACTAGGTAGGGACAGACATTTTTTGCACTAGGGCTAATTATTCCCTGCCACTGAGGCAGGCCTTTCTGTGCACTCTCCCCAGTGACCATGAATTGGACGTTTTTGCAGTCTGGCTGGTAGAAACAGGCACCCTGGGGCTGGATGCTATTACCTCTAATGTGAGGTGGTTCTTTTCAGGTAGTCCCCTTACATGCCTGCTCAGATCAGAACTCTGCTGGAGACGGACCCCTGCAGTTCTCCAGGACATTTTCTCAGCGCAGCTCTCTCTTCTCTGATACCCATTCAGTGAACTCTGGACTTCCGACCCTCATCCCTGTCTCCTCAACTCGAGGAGTTCAATAGACTCCACCTGTGTTCCCTGCCTTCTGTGCCTTGGCCTGGAGACTCCCTCAAAGCAGGGAGCAATCATGGAGACCACATTTGCTTTCCATCTCTCATGGTCTGATGCCCCACGCCCAGAAAACTACTGCTTCATATCTTTTGTCTGGTTATTGCAGGTTAAATCTGGTCTCGTTGCTTTTTGTTGGTCAGAAATTCAAAGTCTCCCTTTGTACAAAAGAAATGATTCAAGTACCTTAGAGATTGGTGGGGACAATGGTGAACTGGGGAGCACATACCCCATCTAAACAGGGCAGTAGACACTGGGATTCAGCTAACTGTCCCACAGTATAACATGAGCCCTGGGCAAAGCTTCCATTTGTTTCTAAGGAGGCTGGATTTTGTGAAACATTCTTTGATTTTAAAATACTGTGTGGATCAAACCTACCATGTCTGTAGGCTGGCTCTAGCCACCAATTCTGACCCCTGTGTATTGTTGTTTTTTTATACAGAACTATGGCATTTTTTTCTAGAAATGCTCACATTTCTGTAAGCATAGAAACATTCTTTCTGCACACGCCAATATGGAAGTCGCCAGTTTTAGGTGGCAATCAGCCCTTGAAATGTGGCTTGTATCTGAGGAACTAAAGTTCTCATTTCATTTGCGTTTATAGAGCCATATGTAGTTAGAGAACACCCTTAGGAAGAATAAGCATTCCTTAACAACACTTGCCCCTGGAGACAGGCAGCACAAAAAGCAAATCCCTGTCCTTGTTTTTCTTCACCCTTTCAGATGAGGGAAACCTGAGAGTCCTATTTTCCTTAACTGGCCTCTCTAACAGTCCTACTCACTCAGAGACCTCCCGACCTCCTACTCCATTGGCCCACTTCCCTTTTATTATTGTGAGCTCTGTGACCATTGGAGCAAGAGAAAAAACCTCAGAGAATGTCCAAAGTACAGGTCTCAAACTAGTGTTCCCCAGGCTAAATCTAGCTCATAGATACGTTTACTCAGACTTTCAAAATATTCAACAATATCTCAGCCAACATTTAAAAATCGAGATACATTACATAGACCAAATATATCTAGCTATTTTTGGTAAATTCAAAGATCGAGCATCCTTGGCTCCACATTGACTGGAGCTGAGTAGCCGCTGCTCTCTGTGGGTGGAGAACATAACTGCTTTGCCACAATCCCCACCACTCCCTTTTGTCACCACCAGTGATGCTTTGTGTTGATTACCTATTTTATCATCACAATTGTCCTATTATTTTTCTTATAGTGGAGAAATACTTCTCCACACCTATATTTTATTCAAAGGTGGTAAAATGAAAAAAAAAAAAAATAATAGGGTTTTGTCTTTTTCAGCCTGGCTCATTTTACACATTTATATCACCTGCCTGGTTCCTGGAAGTATTTGAGGATATGGGACTTTACTAGAGGGACAGGGCACACATGGCAGAACAGGCACACTGAACTTCCCATTTCAGCACCCACATCAGACTTCAGGAATGGATCAGCCCCCCTTCAGGATCCTTTGCCACCCAGGGCCCTGACTGCCGTTCCCAAGCGGTCAGTATTGACCAATAAAATGGTGTTCCTCACAGTTCTCCATATGGCCCAACTCTCTCATTTTACTGAGCTCGAAACCAAGGTCCAGAAAACTTAAGCAACCCCTGAGTCAGTGATGACGCCGCAACGAAACCTCGGGTCGCTTGGCTCTGGAGGTATTTTCACAGGCCCAAGCCACCCCTCTGGGGAGAGAGGAAACAAAAACATGGCTCAGATGGGCTCGTCTTTGGCAAGAGCAGACAGCATGCCAGCTGGGCTGATCCGCTACTTCCTTTTCCCAGCCCATCGTGGAACTTCTCCTCCCCACACCCTCCCCCGGCCTTCACTCTTCCTCCTCGCTTTCCTGTTTCAAACCAACAGTGAGAGATCGCTAACTCAGCTCCCCCCGAATTACTCCCCATTCCGACCTCTGTTCCCCAAACCACTCAAGGAATCGGGGGAGTACTTACGGCACCCGGAGCTTGGGGAACTTCTGAATGTCATTTTCTGTCAGGTTCTGAAATGAAGACACCAGCAGGTTACAACACACAGGCAGGGCTCTGGGCCAGCGGGGTAGAGTCAGGTATGACAATAGGGAGTGGTGGGGACTGCGGCACCCTGAAGAGTACCCCCTGCCCACCCACTCAAGTTGGGCAGCTTCTAGATGTTGTGTATAAGCCTACAGGCCTGGTGTTGCCAGGTCTACTTTTTCAAAGGGAATACCAACATCTGGAGTTTAGGTGAAATTTCCTGAGTTCTACTGACCAGTAATTGTAACTTAAACAAACACTGCGAGAGCTAAATTGTGGACCAAACAGAATTTGTTTTGTGGGCTGAATCTGGCAAGTTGTGCCCACCTCCTGCCTGAGACCCTCGCCCCCGACTTCAGGGCCCCCTCACTCTCGGTATGAGCTGAGCAGCTGTGAGAAGCCAGACCAGAGAAGGGATCTGTGCCCTTATCCCAGCATCACACCCCAAGCCTCTTTCACCAGGCTTACTGATAGAATTCTCCAGATATGGGGATACAATAAAGTGTCTTTCCTGAGGAAGCTGAGAAGGGACAGAAGGAAGAAATAACATGTGTGAAGAACTGGACCTCTGCCTCACAGCACCTTGATTGGCCTTCACCCCCACCCTGTGATGGGGGAGCTACCAGCATGCCCATTTTACAGATGAGAAAGCTGAGGCCTGGGGCGTTAAGGGAATTTCAGCTTGCAGGCGTCAGAGCCAGGGTTGGAACCCTGCTCTACGGCATTGGTGGTCAATTTTCTTCCTACAAGCTTGTTTTCTCTCCTGTCCAAGCCCTTTGAGGCCCCAGGTAGCCTTTGCTGGAGGGGAGGAGAGGCGGGAGTGCCAATATTGGGAACAGAAAGGAGTGTGGGCACACTCTCCATAGAACCGATGCTGAGCTCACAAAGGGGCCCCTTCACTTTCTGAGGCCAGATGCTGGGCAGGACTCGGGAGCCAGGCCAGGCTTGAGTTTTGGTTCATGCATTAGCAGGTGTCTGCTATGGAGCACACACTTAGCATCCCTGAGCCTCAGCTGCCGAGCCTGTAAAATGGGAATCATTTTAATAATAAGGGCCGCCCTTCAGGGGCCTTGAGGATTGAAGGAGATGATGCATATCGTGTGTTTCACACCCCGTTGAACACCATATATAAGTGAAAAAGGGGGAGGTAGGTGAGTAATTCTACCCCCGGGAGCAAGCAGCTGAGGTCTGGCTGGCTCTCAGAGGTTAGTGAGTGTCCTGTTTTTCCTCCCCCTGGGCTGGGAGACACCTGGGGGGTTGTGGCTGCCCAGGGGGCACGGCTGGCATGACCCGTGAGCCCCGCTGGCAGGGGCTGGCCCTACAGTGTGCTTGAGGGGCTCATCTGCTCCTGGCCGGGGAGCCCTGACTGACCCACTCCCTCCGCCGACGGAAGGAAGGAAGGAAGGAAGGAAGGAAGGAAGGAAGGAAGGAAGGAAGGAAGGAAGGAAGG